TTTTTAGATATGCAAGATTCATACTCCTGCGATACAGGTCAAGTGATTTCTTGAGATTTTCCTATGGAACTCACACTATTATTGACAACTAGAGATAAAAGATTTCTCCTTATACCTATGTCTAGGTCAAAAGAAGAATCAGAAACTCATAAATTTAAGTTTCACTTAACCTTATGCATTTCTCAAGATTTTTTCGATCCCCCTGTATAGGTTGCAAAATCCTACTAGAATATGTCTATTCTGCCAGGTTTCTAAGGTTATCATACTCGTTCCACTAGGCAATGGACATAAGTCATAGTTCACGTGATATCAAGTAAGAAAACTCAATACAGATCTACGGATATTTGTATTGATCGGAGAGGATCACAATATATTGTAAGGATTGATTGACTTTATATTGAGTTTACATAGGCTCCTTTTATAGTTGCTGGTGGCCAATTTTATATTTGATGTGAATGAAATGTGTGATGAATTCATGACTTGTTTGTTCTTGTTTTATAATATTTTATATTGATATTATGCTTGAGAAAGATATGTTTGCTTTAATTGTGCAGATGACATGTTAGATGCAGTTTTGGAACAAAAAAGGGTGAACTTAAGCAACTAAAGGTTGTTTTTGACTCAATGCACCTGTGCAGCCGGGACAACACACCTGCGCCCAAAAGCTGGCGCACCCGCTCTAGATTAATGCACCCGTGTCGGCATCGCAGCATGCCCACGCCTAGAAATTATGGTTCCGGAGCACTCACGCCAGTATTACGACGCACCCGGACCAGCATCATGGCATACCCATGTCACGCTCGTCAATTCAGATTTGGAAGATTTTTAATTGCATTTGCCAAGCTTTCCTACATATATGCTCATAGGGACGTGGCTAGGGCATCTTGGGGGTTGAAGGTTGTAAGAGGAGAAATTTTGGTAAGAAAGAGTTATTTAGGATTTTCTTCCTCTCTTTGGGTTGAAACCTCTAGGGGTTATTTTTGCTTCTCTTTTTCCCCTTTGTTCTTGTTATTTTTGAAAGTTTGTGTATGAGAGAGGGATCTACTACTCTTGTGGAGAGAATAAGTATTGCTTATAAGTTTTACAATTATTCGTTTCTTACAATGATGATCTGCTTAGCTTTCTAGTCTAAGGTTTTTCCTACTATGCATGACTAAATTCTCTTTCATGTCTCTGTGATATAGGATCAGTGGTTTTATCGTAATTTTTCAAGATGTTTTCCATGTAGTGTTTTAGAGCTTTCATGATTTTATGTTGTTGGTTAACCTGAATTTTATTTATTCCTAGTCTAGAAAATTAAGTAATATCTTCGTGTCTAAAACTTCTATCCATTGCATGGTGGAATAAATAAATTAACCATGAAATCCTGATAGAATAGAGATATTCTAGTAGGATTCTGCAATCTTGATAAGGGATCGGGTGAAACCTAGGCATAGACATAAGAAGAAAGCATATTCCTCGTTGAAAACTATCACGTAAGAACATATTAAGAAAAATCACAAAATCCCACAATACCCGAGTCATAGAGGCCTGAGTCTCATCTCTCTTGATGAACGCTGAATTTATCTTTGCTTTCTGTTTTCTGCTTTCTACGATTGTGATTTATTTTCTTTTAGGATTTTAACCCTTTGTTGTGATCACGTCAAGTTAGGTTCTTATAGTTAATAAATTAGAGATTTACGACCAAGACTAATTGTTATTCTTTTCCTCGTAGAATCAAAACGCAGACTCTGATACCGCATATTACTTAACATGTATACTTGCGTGATTGACCTACTTACCTTACAGTGACTTTTCGGCCATAAATTCTCCGGAAATCTACCCTCATTAGAGGGCATCGGGGAGAAAGCCAGCATGTCCAACTATCTTAAAAGACTCGCTGGTCATTGTCGTGAGACATTGTAGCCGGAAGTCAAAATGTTCTTTTAACTGACCGATCTTAAGAGATGCATTAGGCCTTCAAGGTACCTGAAAAAAATCAAATCACAAGCACGGAAGTCAAAATGTTCTTTTAACTGACCGATCTTAAGAGATGCATTAGGCCTTCAAGGTACCTGAAAAAAATCAAATCACAAGCACGTATTTCCTCGAGTTGGTACTTGACTTTCTCTGAACATTACTTAATTCTCTGGACATATACTCAGATTTCTCATGATGAATACTTAAAATATTCTCCCTAATTTTATAAAAATATCTTCGAACGAATAATAAACTTTCCATGAACAGTTCTTAATTTCTTGGACAGGTAATTGAATTTCTTCAAACAAGCATTTTCAAAAATTTCTCCTCCCCCCTTTTTATACATTTTCGAGCGAATTGTCAATGTTGATAGCAATGAGACGATCAATGAAATGACGAAATTGATGGACTATATCTTCCTGATTGTTTTATAATATATATAATATATGTTATATGTTATATATTATATATATTCAAACAAATAAACAGGAGATGCAAGGGCTTAGGAAAAGGAAATAAAAGATCAGTGGGCTGTGCGAAACAGGCAAAGAGCAGGTTAAGGCAAAGAGATAAGGGTTTATGTTTTGAGTTCGCGTGTGAAATTAGGTAGTGAGGGATTTGATTGGGTCTCGCGCATAGACAAAGCAGTGAAAGCAGGATCATGAGGTTATGTACATGAATTGTGCGACAGTAGGACTTTGATTATTGTGGTTGGGGAGAAGTCAAATAGGGGCTTCACCTGTAGAAAGAGAAAACATGTGAAGCTAGGGCGAGCGAAGGGATCGCCCAAGTTATTTGAAAGAAATAAAGGGGAGATAGAATAGGTGTTCGAATGGAAAGGGACTAAGGTGTAGATTCAATCCAGAAGTAAAGAGGAATAGAATTTTTGGAAGCCTTATATGTCACGATCCAGTCATTGCTTTTCCTCCAGCTCTAATCGTGGTTGTGTTGCAAGATATGTCAATGAATAAGGGGATGGAAGATTGCGTGAGACACAGGGATTCACGAACATAAGGCGGATGGGCTAGCTTTGGGTTTTGATTTGCAAATAGTAGCGAAGAAGGAGAACAGGGAAGAGGTAGAAGTGAAGCAGGGAAATGGCTTGAGCTAAAGAAAAAAGAGATTATGTGGCTTCATCTATGATCTCTAGAGTGAATAGGAGAGAAACAATGTGGTTCAGTTACATGTACTAGAGCAAACAACAGAAGCAAAGGCGAGGGCTTTCAGCGGTTTTTGGTCTAGGATGTGTTCGAACAGGGGAGTGGGAGAGCAAAAGCGGGGTTACGCAAGCCTGTTGTGTGGCTTTTTTATTTCGAAAGGGAAAGGGTGCCTCGCATTAAAAAATATAAAAATCCTAAAGCGGGAGTCGGTTCGGTGACATAATATTTATTAAGTTTAATCAACCCCAAATAATAAAATTTATGATTTTAATGACTTTTTTTAACTTCAACACGATGCCTCAAGTTCATTTAATTCAATCCATGCAAGAGCCTTACATTTCATGCAAGATTCTACTCTATTTGACATCAGTCTAAGAATTTAATCAAGTGACTCTCCCTCTCTCCACTGTTCACTGTGATAAACAAATTATTCTAGATTGGAAACTAAGAGAAGTTTATAGTCTTCTTTGGACTAGGTTTAATAGTTTAACTTAGTGATCAAATTTTGATAATCATTTGGAGATGATTAATTTATATTTTCTAGTTTTCATATTTTAGCTTGCTATTTCATCTCTTCAACTCCTCTCAATCTCAATCCCTAGAATCTACTCCAAAACTCCCACTCAATCCGTAGAATCACCTCACAAACACCCATGTCTATGCAGTTTCTCTCAACTTTCTTAAACTCTCAGCCTTACTCCCTCTCACCTCCCCTCAAAAGCCATTAAACTCTCACTGCTGACCACCAACAACGTCAAAAATCCTTACCTATCTCTCAATCTTATCCTAGACTACTCATGCTGTAGCATACATCCTCACACAGCCATTCCAAATAATTTCTTAAACCCTCAAACCTACAACCTCTTCACTTCACCGCCCTACAAACTGCTTCTTTCCAAAGGTAGCTTTTGGTCACTATAGGAAAACTATCTTTCCATAACCCCTAAAGTCCAAAAAACTTCCATCAGCTATCTTCCATCGTCCTCATACAAACAAAAAAAGAGAGTATTGTCCTTCATTCGGTTCCACAACCTACCACAACAAATTTTGGTATCAAAGCCATATCCCAAAGAAGCTGCAAAGCAAAATAAGCTAACATCAAGATTGGCCTCGACGAGTGATAAATTTATTATTCCACTGGTGGGTAACCTCTACAATCCTAAGTTTTTGACTTCTCAATTTTATTAATTTATTACTCAACTAAATTTAAGGTTCAAACACATTACAAGGCTAGCCTGAGAAAACATTCATTTCCTTTACTACATAAACTTTGTGGAAATGCAGATTCACTACTAAGAATAAAACCCATTCCCCATCGCATTAATTTGGTACTTTTATAAACTCTCGGACTAAAATGACCCCATGTAAACAATTAGACTATTTTGGCATTTTACTAAAAAATTTAATGAAATATATGAGAAATTTAGAATCAAATAAATTTACAAAAAGACCAATGTAATCAAAATCATAATGATGCATAAATTAAAAATGGTCATTAATAAGATAATAATAATATATAATTAATAATAAATCAAATATGTAACAAAAAGTCAATATTTTGTAAGAAGTTATAGAATGATTTTTACAGTATTTCAAAATTTATTTTCAATATTTATTTCATATATCATCATTATCCTTCAATGCTTGATAAATCAAACAAAATTTAAACTAATTAACATTTTAACATGAACTTGCACTTGAATCTTCTTGAATTAAACATATTGAGCTCATCTTAAGTTGCAAGTGCTCTAAACTAAATATATCATCCAATATGAAAAAGTTTTGCTCCAACATTTATTCATTAAATAAGTCGAGATTATTTCATTGTCAATCACACTTATGAAGAAATCTTTTTAAAGAGCATTCTAGAAAAGAACTAACCATGATAGTTGCCTTGTAAATTATTGGGGAAATCTTTGCTCAAAGATAATTCAGCCATATCAAGTTGCCAAGGTTCATCCACTTCCTGAACGAAATTAAAAGAGAAAAATAAAAAGTAACCACCTTGCTGAGAAAACCAAATTGCAATACCAATTCTTTACCTTGAAAATAGCAGCATCACAAGGCCCACGAATAGTTGGTATATGCGTGAATTCAGCAAAAATTTTCCATGTTAGGTGATTCAATGCCCTTAGAGTCTGATCATAACTACCCACAGCAAGAAACTGGCCACATGTGGACCATGTTACAGTTTTCACACCTAAACCACTTTCATATGCTTGATACTTGAACAAGCATCTGCCATCTGGAGAATAAATGAGAACCTGTATCATACACAACACTTACTCCATTTATAATTCTGATAAAAAATTGAAAGTTCTGTAAAACAAAATATCGAAATCTCAATTATCGATAAAACTAGCAGAACACAATATAAAAAGAAGTTGGATAACTATGATTTATACTTTTACATGGAAGTTATAGAGAGGATCATGAAATTACCGTGATGGAAAAAAAGCTACCTTAGGATATACTATCACAGTTGCAAGGAAGAAATTAATGGAGATTCCAATCATTCTATACGGTTAACCTGCTTTTCAATTTCCTCCTTAACTGATGGTGTTGAAAAATAATAATTGTTATATCAATGGTGATATACACAGTTCAAGATCATGATACATGATAGCAATATAGTGACATGCCAAAACTTACAGGGACGTAAGTCGGCCGTACAAAGCATGTGCACGTGTCAAGTAATGCAGTTAAAGAGTACCGCATGTAGATCCCGCGAGGAAAGGGCTAAGAGCTATCCTAATGGGTGAATCTCGAGTTTACTAAACTTCTAAACCTAGTCTAGCGTAATCACAAATAAAAGATTGTTTCCTAAAATCCTACTTAAAAGCAATAACAAAAGATAATGTGTTTTGAGAATATGAAAAACAACGGCAAATAAATCTTATATATCTTCAAGATATGTGAGGCTCGCGCCCTTATGATTTTGGTAATGTGGTGGTTCGTGATTTTCCTAGACTTGCCCCACGTGATTGTTGTCAACAAAGATAAAAAGTCCCCCTTATGCCTATGTCTAGGTCAAAAGAATGTTAGAATCCATAAAGTTGAGGCTAACTCAATCCTCATGGCATCCAACGAATTTGTTTTGATCCCCTTTCTAGGTTGCAAAACCCAATAAAATATGTCTATTGTCATCTGGATTCTGAGGTTAACCATTTTCGTTCCTCTGCGCAACAGGTAGAAGTCACAATTCACAAAATATGTTAACATCGTACTTGATCAGATCATAAGTAATGAAACTCTATGGTTAACACAACAACGAAAAAGCCCTGATGTCTCAAGAAAATGACGCAGCAAAAGAAATGATCCGAGAAAACCACAAAACCACATCCCATAAATCACAAGGGTGCGAAAGAAAGTTTAGCTACACGTGATAGAAAAAACACTGGAAAAACATCCGAAGAAAACCATTGTTATAAATAAAACTGAAATGTACATGCTTACAAAATAATTTGTTCCCTCTTCCATAGCAGTCAACTCCTCTCTCATACAATAACCTCTCAAAACACATAAGAACAATACAAAAAAAAAAGTTAAAGAAACATTAGGACCTCAACCCCAAGAGAAGAAGAGGAAATCTAAGGAAAACTCTAAAAAACTTTTTCTCCAGTCGTCTCCAACTCTCCTCTTCACCCTAGAATGTTTCAATTCATGCCCTAGCTTCTCTTTTAAAGATCCATAAAAAATTGGCATGAAAAAACCTTCCAAAATGAGATATTGCGGTCCGGGCGTAGTCACGCTAGACCACGGCGGGGTCATGCCAGTTCTAGCATGGTCACACCCAGATTAGGCGTGATCATGCCGGATAGTACTATTTTTGCGCGTTTTGACTTTGTTTTGTATGTTGGACACTTATAACCAGCAAAATAACACAGAACTTTCCACAAGTCTAAAATCATGATATATGAGGTAAAATAGTATGTAAAATGTATGATAAAATGCATGTGAAATAATATAAAATTAACACATGTCAATACTCCCAAACTTACCCTATTACTTGCCCTCAAGTAATCACATGGCTCAGTGAATTGTATGGTACTCTTGTAGGTTTCCAACTATTCAACCTGTTTGTCAAGACTAAATAAAAGTGTTTAAATGTCATTAGGATTATTATCTTTAATGGTTAATAACTTGCTTTTCTTAATTTCCTTCATTCCTTAAGAAGATTTTATAGATCCTTAAATTGGTGTTATTTAAATTCTTTTTCACTAACCTTGAATATCGTTAATACAGGTTTAGGGGATCTTAGCCAACTTAATGTTCACTTAACTCTTGACCTTGAAGATAACTTTACTTGATTTTAATTAAAGAATCAATGCAAAGTTTATTACTTAAGTCTCACTAGACCTCCTTCTATTTACTTTTATTTTCTTGAATTTTTATTGTGCCAACCTCAAACCTAGGGATTTTTTACTTTTTGCTTTTTTCATTTTTTTTCTTTTTCATTTTTTTTTCTTTTTTTTCTCCTAAGAATTATTATATCTAGTTGACAATATTTTTTTTTCTAATTTTTAAAATGTGAGAGAAAGTGATTTTTAAGCAATAAATCTAATACTTGATTTTTTAAATGTTCCACCTCCCAATTATCTTTTCAAGTTAAAACTTCATATCACATTAATTTGGCTAAAATGGACTCAAAGGATTAAAGATATTTTTGGTTTACTACTCAATTTCTAAGCCATGCATTTTTAATAATCTATAAGTTCCCTTAAGCAAAGTACGAAGTTGTTAAGTTTTGAATTCTTATTATTAACTCATTAAAGTTTACATTTTCTAAATGACATTTATCCACTTCAAATAGATTATGATAAGCACTTTGAATTAATTAAGGGTCCTAACAGTAGTTACAAAATGAAAACTGAATCTTTAACTGAGTTATGTAGACTACTTTTCGGTTTGTACAAAGGTACATTTTTCTTCTTCCCAAAATTGTTTTTTTTTCTAACATATGAATACCATGAAATAACAGTAAATTAAAAAACAGGTAAGTGTGGGAACAAGTAAATACAGGAGTGTTTACATGAATCTAAGAAAATAAGAATATAAAATATGTAACAAATGCATTCATCACGCCATGGAGGGACAAGACTCAAAACATAATTCAAATGAAAATTTAAAACAAATCAATAGCAAATTTCAAAAAAAAATTTCAAAATAAAAGCAGAAAGTAAAAACATGTCCAGCACATCAGATAACACTTGAGTGACCTCATAAGATAGTACTTGTTTTAATGTCCTCAGCCTAACTAAAAAATCTTTCCCCAGGATAAAAATTCCAATTAAGAAATTCTCAATCAATCGTCCAATATTTTATTGGTCCTAGATCTTACTAAGTCCTCAGTTTAACCTCATTAATTCCGCTTTTTTGCAGATTTTGTTTTCTCTGATAGTTGCAAGAAATGGGTCCATTTAAGATAATTCAAGGTTTTCTAAATTTAGGGGTGTCCTCCCTAGCTTTTTAAGGTTGAGGATTCAATTTTATTGGGTCAATTTCCTATCTAGGGTTGTCTTCCAACTCTTCCTCTTGGGGCACTTCTATGGGTGATACTATAGGCTCAACTATCTCACTTACAACGCAAGGGGGTGCCTTAAAAAGAAGAGTAGATTCTTCCTCAGTCATCCTCCAACCAAAATCATCAAACTCAACATACTCTTTAGGGATCAACTCTTCAGATTCAAAGGTGTGCCCCTCTACTGCCCCTGACGTCCCTTTGGGTTTATTGTTTAATTAATTAGCTAGCTGCCCACTTGATTTTCTATGTTTCTAAGGGTATCAGTTTGGCTTTGTAACTCCTTCCTCGGGTTTATCATTGTTATTCCAAATAATCATTTTCTTCAAGATAGTCACTATCCTGGTTATTCCAACCTCCTATAGAATCGACTTGGGGGCTCTCCCATTGTTGGTTGTCAACTTTAGGATTATTATTGTTCCAATTGAAGTTTGGCTAGGTCAATCAATTTTGGGTGTATGTGTTTAATTCATTCCTCAAATTTATTAGCAAATTTTCTGACGACAGGTAATTCTCTCTAAATTGGGGATTCGAGGTGTCTTCTCGAGGTTGAGTTTGACAAATGTGGTCCCTGCCCCACTTTTTCTAATTACAAGGTCGGCTTGAGTTCTCTCCCAAACTTGGTTTTCTACACCAATGTCACTAATGCTCTAATTAAATTTTGGTAAATGGTCTAGTTAGGGTTGTAGGTATTGGAAAAGGAATTATGGCCATTATATCCTATGGCATTAATAGTTTCTAAATTAGAGATGCTAGGATCTATCACTAGTCCATGAATCGACCCATCATTTGGTGGAAGTCCTTGCATCAGATGCATCCCCAAATTATCTAACTTCCTAGAAAGTGCGGCCACATGGGTGGCCAGAATAGTTAAGACATCAGTTTCATGAACACTAACTACATTCTAGGGTGTAACTCCTTTAACAAGCCATTGAAAATTATTTGTGGTCATTTCTTCTATTAGTTGGTAGGTTTCATCAAAAGGTTTTGACATTAAGGATCCACCTGTTGTGGCATCTATGATCAATCTCAGAGAACCTACCAATCCATTGTAAAATGTTTGAATTATCAGTCAATCAGGTGGGGGGTGATACGGGAACTTCCCAAGTAATTCCTTGAATCTTTCCCAAGCTTTGAAAATAGACTATCTATCTATTTGTGTGAATGAAATGATATCATTCTAAGCTTTACAGTTTTCGATGGAAAAAAATATTTGACTAAAAACTTTTGTGCTAAGTCATTCCAGGTCATGATTAATCCTGTGGCAAGGGAATTAAACAATACCTTAGCCTTATCCCTTAGAGAAAAGGGAAAAAGCCTGAATCTAACGACATTATTGGCGACACTGTTGTACCAGAAGGTAGCACAAAGTTCAAGAAAATTAGCTAAGTGCAAGCATGAGTCTTCAGCCAAAAGCCCCAAAACTAATTTTTCTGAATCATCTGGATTATGATAGGTCGATGGATAATTAATGCTCATATGAATTTTTTCAACAGAAGGATTGGCGTATTCCCTAAGTGGTTTCATGATGGGTGTGTTAGAGTTAGCCATCTCAACAGATGTTTCAGAAAACAATTACGATCTCATAAGACGTCTAAAAGTGTGATCAATCTCAAGTTCAAAAGGGGTGAGTTCAACCTCAGCTCCCTTGTGTATAAAAGAACATTTTAAAATTATACAGCACATAAACGTACTGACCCACACTAGTCAATAAGTTGAATGCAAATGCGACACTCGATATGC